TGAAGGAAATATTCAGTATAAAGAGTATTTCAGTATCTGCCTCTCGCCCCAGCTGGGACTGACTCCAGCTCCCCTGAGACCCTCAAAACAACGAGCTGTATGATGGATGAATAATAAACTATAGAGAACTTTTCCAAACACAAAATACTTTTCAGTGTAACCGAAATAAAACAAACTAGATAAATTCATTAACTTTAAAAATGGAATGGATAAAACATAATAATTGCAGACAAACAGAAAGAAACCCTGTCTTGATAATCTCACTTTCTGTCTGACTCCTTTTCTCATGTCCAGGTGAACAAAGTTCTGCGAAACCACAACATCAAGCCTCACTGGATGTTCGCTCTGGACAACATCATCCGCAAAGCCGTGCAGACGGCCATCACCATCCTGGTGCCAGGTATCGAGCAGAGCGCCTCTAAATAAATTAGCTTCTGTCCCTCGGGGCAGCAATGACTGTCTGATGAACACAGGAGCTGTGGTGAAACAAGTGTTGTGAGACAGGACTTTAAGACACAGAGTGTAAAGATTACTAAAAAATACTAAAATCAGCCACATGTGCTCTGTAGATCTTTCTTGCAAACGCAGCAGCAAAAGAAAAAAAGTAGCCTGTTGAATTAGATTCGTGAAAATAAACAGGAAAATATGATTTAAAGATGATGGAAGTTTAAGAAGAGAACCTCCCAGGTTCATAGATCAACTATTAGACCAAAGTTATGTCTCTGTTTTTTCTTTTGCAATGTAGCTGAGCTTAATTATTGAAGAATTTCAATCAATTAATGTCTCAGTCAATAACATATGAAGAAACAGTACAAATAACCAAGTACACAAAATCAGAGGAGACATTTTATTTGCTTGTTTCATCTGACCAACGTCCAAAACCCCAAAATATAAAACAGAAACTCAAAAAGTGAGGAAAACAAAAAGTTTTCAAATACAATTCATCTAGTTTTTCTTTTGATCGATTAAGAAACTTTGAAAACATCTCATACGTTTCATCCTCTCGATCATTAATGAACTGAATGGTCTGTGTCCAGAGCTGCGGCCTCACTTCAGTCTGGCCTCAGAGAGCGACCCGGCCGATCAGGAGGACGTGGACGACGACACCGAGGAGAGAAACTCCACCCACCAGAGCCGAGCGCCTACCGTCGCCGCTCACGACGACACGGTGGCCACGTCGGGAGTCAGCACGCTCAGCTCCACCGTCTCACACGAGTCCCACCACGCACAGCGCTCTGTGAGCATGGAGCTGGGCAGGATGAAGCTGGAGACCAACAGGTAGACACCGACGCCACAACAGAGAATACACAAACCATTAGAGCCGTCATTATTTCTTCATCTCTGATATTTACCTCTGGAATAAAGAGTCCTGTTGCGTTTCCTGTTTGACTCCAGGCTGCTGGAACAGCTGCTGGAGAGGGAGAGAGAGTATCAGTCCATCCTGCAGCAGGTGCTGGAGGAGAGAGAGCAGGAGATCAGACTACTGAAGCTGCGATCTGAGCCCGCAGGTCTGATTCCGTACACTTTCCCTCTTTACATTTAAACAGCATTTCACAACCAGCTCTGACTCATTGAGGAGATTCCTCTCAAAACGCATTGTTATCCTCCCCCAGCAGCAGGTGATTGAAAACACTGAGGAATGTAAATCATTTATACAAACTGTGACGTGACTGATGCACAAGAACAAAGCTGTTCTCAGTCGCCCACTGAAGCTGCAAACTGTTTGACCTCTCGTTCTGATTTTCTGATCTGAGATTTCAGGATGTAAACACAGAATAAATCTGATGTGTCCGGACTCTCTGATGTGATATTAGTGTATTTAAGATTCTCAGAACATCCTGTGCAAACACTTTACAGCAGCTTTCAAAAGATCTTTACGTTTCTATAATAAATCCAGAACATGAACATCAC